AAAAAAAAATTTGGTGGGGGGGGGGGGGGGGGGTGGTTTTTTTTTGTTGGAAAAAAAGATTTTTTTTTTTTATTTAGGAAAAAAGGGGGGGGGGGTGGGTTTTTTTTTGTGGGGGTGTGGGGGGGGGGGGGTTTTTTTTTTTTTTGTGGGGAATTTTTTTTTTTTTTTTTAGGGGGGGGGGGGGGTTGTTTTTTTTTTGGGGGGGGGTTTTTGTTGTTTTTTGGGGGGGGGGGGGTTTTTTGGGGTTTTTTTGAAAAATGGGGTGTTTTTTTTTTTGTGTTTTTTTTTTTTTTTTTGGGGGGGGGGGGGGGGGGGGGGGGGTTTGCAAATTTATTGGGGGGGGGGGGGCAGTGAGACGTTTGCAGGTATCGAGTTGCACCAATGACAACAACGACTCACCCCATGGCCATAAGCGAAGAATGAGTGCAGCATGATAAACATCGCCAACGACAACATGCACCATGACAACAATACCAACACCCAACATGCGCTAACCCACCACCACCTTCAACAACAACAACAACAGCGCGCACCTCAACAAGCTCAACGCTAACCATTAACATCACCAACAACAACACAGCGGCAGCAGCAGCAGCAGCAGCAGCAGCAGCAGCAGCAGTAGCAAGTCCAACAACTACACCCCACAATCAACAAACACAACCTCTCTCCTGATCTCACCGACTTTCATGCGCCACTGCCACTCCACCGCCAGTCCAACCAGAGGCAGGGCCAGCTGGTACTGCTCGCTGGCGTGTAGGAACGAAACCAGCCTGCGACGCAACAACCACACAGTCCAACGAAATTAAACGCTTCCTGTTCTCAGGCGCACTGAGACTGACGCCTCGTCATCGTTAGAGCGGTCGATGCTAAACAAAAAAAAACACACACACAGAGAGAATCACCTTGGTGCATGATGCGACGATGGAACAAGGGGTTAACGAGATGCTGGGTGCTGGCGGTCGTGCAACACTCTCGGTGTGTGTTTCTCTCCGCGCATGACTGAGACAAGTAAGAGACGGAATGGTGCGCTTTCCAACCGGGGTAGGCATGCATGCACGCTGCCGCACGCCTTCACGGGGTAAACCTGTCTTGCAGCGCTCGCAGCAGCAGCAGCAGCAGCAGCCTGCTCGGGTAGGAGGTGTCTTGCAACCCGAACACTCATTCATGGCAGCAGACCGCACAAGGCCTTCTCAGAGCAGGGGTACTTGTACACGTGTCTGCTTTCGCAACACAGCCACCCACATACGCGCAGACACCGAGAAAATTGCCACACGGCTGGCCGATCAGGGGAAGCGGCTGCGAGTGCAAAATCGTAGTCCACACACCGCTTCTGCGTCGTACTTAGAGTAAATGACCCTCCCCGCGCCGGTGCGGATAACAAACAAGAGAGAAAACTTTATTCGCACGCGCGCGGCGTTCCACGCTCCCGCCGGCAGAAGCATCTATCTAATTTATCTACTGCCTCATTTTTTTAGGGTTGTTGAGGTCCCGTTAAACCTCTCTTGTTCCGGGTTCGGTCGCCTCCCGGGCTGTCTTAGTGGTCTGCTATGATCGCGTTTGTCTCGAGTATTTTCTGAGTCCGTTGCAATTTTCCATTTGGTTTCTAGAAGCGTGCACCCTTTGTTGGGTACAGAAGTTGGCCTGTGACCACGAAAGGCTTGAGTTGGACCAGCACGGACGAGGAGAGACCGGCGCGATTTCTTATTGAAAAGACAACTACAAGAATAACAACAACAACAACAACAACAACAACAACAACAACAACAACAACAACAACAACAACAACAACAACACATACAACAGACAGGTTATACATTCCGGCGGCTGACTCACCCGCCGCTGTCGAGGCCCGTCAGGTGGGACCTGAGGGTACCCTCGCACATCCCCGCAAGCAGCGACGGGACCCCCCCAAGACCCAGCTGGCGCCCCCTCGTACTAGCCTCCGTCGACATGGCCCAGTAGTCTTGCACCTGATGTACATAGGCAGTCGGTAAAGCAAAAAAAAAAAATGTTTTCTTCTGTACCGGGTGTGGTCGTAGTTGCGATGGGGGTCCTGCGTCGGCAAGGGCAAAAACGGATTCTCGTTTTGTACTGTACCATGTGAGTGTTCTTTGTCACGGCGGTCGGTGGCAGTTTCCGCATTTTTTGTGGCCGGCGGCGGTGCGCGGAAGAAGAAGAGCGTTCCTTTCTGTACGGAACAACACGCCAAGAAATAAGAACTGAGCGGGCAGGAGCTTGAGGAGCCTAAAAAACACCTACCGTAAGAACTTGGCCACAGGAACATCTTCTCAGGGAAGAAGGGGCCTACGCTGAAAATAGTCGCCGTGGGGGTACCCATACACAAATAATAAGAAACGCTCGTCCGACGTCAAAGAAAGAGCTTCCTAAACCGTGGCACGTTCCGTCGTAAGTGTTTCGTGGGTGTCTGTGACAGCGATCATGGGGCCAGCAACGAAGAAAAAAAAAACATATACTTGAAAGGCGGGGGCCCCTCAATAGTCCCGGTTGAGCAGTGCCGCGGCCCGGCGTGATGTAAGCTAGAATCACGCAACAAAACGGAAGGATAAATATTTCAAGTTTTTTTTTGTGCCATTCTCTGGATGGTGCCGGGTGTCCGGTGTAGTGCCGGTGAACCTGGCGGGCACAATACCGGCACTACTGAGGGACCCCTCCACCGCATACCAGTGGGGGTGCCACCTGTGGTGGGGGGACCCGCCTTCGCGAGAAATCGGGTTTGTGAGGAAAACGAACACAACTTCCCCGATTGCACGCTTTATCCAACCCGATTGCACTCTTTATCCAGCCCGATTGCACGTTTTGTCCAGCCCGATTGCACGCTTTATCCAACATATTTACCTATTACAATTAAGACAAATCCTTTACGAAGGCTACTGGATAGCACGCTTTATCCAACGTATTTACCTATTATACAACTAAGACAAATCCTTTGCGAAGGCTACTGGATACATAAGGGTCCTCGGCCACCACGCCCGTGCCCACGCCGGCGGGTCCACCTTTTCGTGACGCGCCTCGTGACCGCCGTTTCTTCCTGAGCAAGACACATGAACCGTCAACTATCCCACCGCACCACTCCACGAGAACCGACAACCATCCCACCGCATCCCTACACGAGAACCGTCAACCATCCCACCGCACCCCTACACGAGAACCGTCCACCATCTCGCCGCACCCCTACACGAAAACCGTCAACCATTCCGCTCATCGCACACAAAAAAAGCCCAGCATCCAGCAGGCTTCTTGCCCACTCACAGCAAGGGTACATCACCTTCGACTGCTGTGGTTGTATCTCAAACGGGAAGTCTTTCTGCGTGCTTTCTATGTATATTTTCTACATCTATATATGATGTATGTATGTTTCCTGTGTAAATAAAAAAATCACAGCTACTCACCACACCCCGGCTGTCCAGGAAAAGGCCCTCGAGAGCCGTGCAACCCCAGGGCTTTGATGCGGCGACGGAGGCCGGCTGCGCGTCGCCGATACCGCCGCCGCCGCCCCAGCCGCTCCTGCCACCACGCCACGAGGCTACGGGATGCGTTCCGCCCCGCACGCGGAGATGGTGGCTCCCCACTTCTGCAGACAGGGCGTATCTGTCGGGAAAGCAAAAGGGGGGGGGTGACTTGATTGTCTTGGCCGTGTACGGCCTTAGGACGTATACATGGCCTTGCTAAGGAGGCATATCTCACACCGCTTCGTAGATGGGTATCACATCTCACACAAGATGGCTTTCCCGTTCCCGTTCGATCCCCTGCCCACTTAACCCTCCCCGCGTTTGTTTCACGTGGTCTTGCCTAAAACCGTTGACACATATCCCAAGCCAACGGCGCACAGCGCGGGGAAAGAAACAGAACCACCGCCAGCAGCGCGAACCTCCCGCGCTTGCACTGTTCGGGCAACGCATGATAGGTGAGGGTAAAAATTGGCGCCAAAGCCCTGGCCGAGACACTCTCACCGCGTCACACTACGGGACCCGTTGCCGTCCTATCATGCCCCGATGAAAAACTGCGGAGCCCCCCTGTCCCGTATAGGCATGCACGGGAAAAAGAACTACACGGGACCTCTGCTGTGCCGTGGGCATGAACCAGCAACAAAAAAATAAACGCGACACGACTCGACCGGAGGGTAAGACGCACTGGTTCATGCGCTTGAGAGAGCCCGAAGCAGGGTTGCCGTGCGTGCGCATGCACCGGTGTAACAAACTAAAGAGATTCGACATGACCCGATCTGAGTTTCGAGACTCACTGGTTCATGCACTTGAGAGCCACAGGCAGGGCGGTCGCGACGATGTTGGCCTCGAGCTGGTCAGCGAGTCCGAGCTAGGTACAAAACCAGCAGCAAGCACCACCAGCGACAGCACGTTGGCAGGAGCGGGGGGGGGGGGGGGGGAGCGTACTCATGTTTTGCATGCCTTAGCGGTTAGATCATCGTCCACGCGTCCTCGAGAGGGCGGAGGGTTGTTCCAACAGGACCCATCACAGATGGCCAATCGTTCCTTCCTACCTTCACCACAAGAACGTCTTCCCTACCCTCGGGGAGGGGGGAAAAGAGGTAAAAGAGAGGATGGTCAGGGAAGGGCCTATTATAGTATAGTTCGAAAACGCCAGGTGAAGAAGATGCGTGCAGCGGTGTTTTTGCACAACAACACCCAGGGCAGCGTGTCGGAAAACGAAGGCCAGCGCAAGACCGACAGCCTTGCCCCGGCCAGCGAGGAGGATATGCATGCACACGGCGCAACACTGTACTCACTCTGTCGACCTGCTCGAGCACCAGCATGAGCACCACTGCCGTGTTGCGTGCTTCCGCCGACCTGCCGCCGCGACGGAGAGAGAGAGAGAGAGAGAGAGAGAGAGAAAGAGAAGCGAGGCAGACAAGCACGAACGAGCACCCCTACAGGCATCACAAAGGGGTGAATAAAAACACAAGTCAACGGTCAGACGGAGACACTTCACCTGACCAACAAAAAAGTGCAGCTGAGTCCATGGGCGAAAAAAAAGGGTTCCACCCAACACGAGCCGAAGAAATAAGCTCACAAATGATCGCTACCCCCCCCGCCATCCCGCTTCCTCTATAGCTCACCTCTCTCCCTCTCACAAGCTGACAGTCCCGAACGTGGTGAGCAAACACACAACCTCCCACTCCCATTCCCCTATAGTCTACCTCTCTCTCTCACAAGCTGACAGTCCCGAATGCGGTGAATAAACACACAACCTCCCACTCCCCTTCCTCTCTTAAGGTCTACCTCTCTCTCTCATAAGCTGACAGTCCCGAATGCGGTGAACAAACACACAACCTTCCCATCCTCCCTTCCTCTACGGCTCACCTCTCTCGCATAAGCTTGACAGAGTCCCGAACGCGGGGAAGAAACACACAACAAGAGCACTTATCCTCCCCCCTCCCCCCCTAGCAGGATACAGCGCACCCTTCACGCCGAATACCTCACGGTGCTTCGCGCTTGGTGATGTGAGAGCCTGGTCCGGTGAGAACCCGGCGTGCTCCGTCCCGGCTTTGTAGGGGTGCGAGGTCAATGGTCTAACGACTACGGCATGCACGACTATGAGTACACCCCCCCCCCCCCTTCCTCCTGTGTAGGTCACCTCTCTTTCATAAGCTTGACAGTCCCGAACGCAGCGGCGGTAGCTATCCCGGAAGAACACCCGCAAACTCCTCCGCCGTGTCCGAGGGGGCGGGACCGAGGCGGTTCCTTCGCCGGCTTCAGGCTGTTTTTGCGTACACCGTTCATACCGTACGCATAGATGCACGGCGCGCTTCAGGATATTGTTATCGTAGATCGTTCATACCGCATGCATATACGCGTGGCGCGCTTGAGCAAATATTTATGCAGACCGTTCGTATCATGCAAAGGCGAAGCATTTCAGGCTGTTTATATAACATACCGGATGCGTATGTGCAGACCATTCATATCATATGCATGGCACGCTCCAGGCTCTTTGTTTACATATCGTCTGCGTATGCACGGCACGCTTCAGGCTGTATTTATGTGCACCATTTACGCCGTATGTATGCATAGCGCACGCGAAACCAAAAAAAAAACGATCGAAGAAAAAACAAACAAGAACGAAGCCCTCGAAACCGAGCAATCACCAAACGGTGTGGGGCTGCGTGACAAAACTGCCTGTATGTGCTGTCGTTGTTGTGGTCGGAGCTGCCGCTTTTACTCAAACCCGTTTATTGTCATCACATTCATTTGTGAAAACAAGTAGGATCGCTCCTGTGCAAAAGTTCAATTAAACATACATTATTCGTGGTTGCCGTAGGAGAGAGACTCGCTAATAGCCGTGAGACTGGAAATGCATGAGCAGCTGCCGGCTACCCTAAGTAGTCAGCCACGAATCCGCGGGCGCGGAGATAAACCGGCCGTGAAATGGGGGGGGGTGGGGGGGTACTCATGTTTTTCATGCCTTAGCAGCTAGACCATTGGCCACGTGTCCTCGAGAGGACGGAGCATTGTTCCCACGGGACCGATCACCGATGGCCAATCGTTCCGTCCTTAGGGGTGGGTGGGGGGTGGGTTACGGCGATGCATTGCTGACCTCTCTGCCCAGGTGAGGACGTCGCGCACGGCATCCGTCTGCAAGACCGCGGCGGCCGCTTCCGCGAGGCAGGCACCGGTAGTGCTCCGGAGCAGAACGTCGGAAACCTTCCTCAGCTGAGACCAGGAAGAGGGTTGTTTCGACAGGGGGGGGGGGGGACGAAAAGCGGGGAATCAATATATAAATATGAACAGCGAGGGGCAGAATGAAAAAAAAGTAGTGGGAATCGAACCAGACACATGGCGTGGGTGTGGTAGCAGCGCGCCACCCCGGCACCATCTTCTTCCGAAGTGGAGCTACATGACTGATACGGCTGCTATCCTCTCTTTTTCTGTCTTCGAAACCCTCAGCAAACTCACACGCTCCTCAGACACCTCTCGCTAAAATACTCGCATACGCCAACCAGCCCGTTTGACGCTGACGTCAACATACGACGCTACAAGCACACACTCACAAACGACGCTTGCTCCCGCTTGTAACCCCCCTCCTCCCCCAGCCCCCGGGGGAGGTTCTCCGCGTCCGCGAGGCCCCCCGCCGTCCCCTCTCTCGCCAACGCCGACTCCGCCTCGAAACCCCGAAACCAGGCCGCCGCCGCAGCCGCCGCCCCCCCGCCTCCGGCGGCGGCAGCGGTGGCGACGACAACCCGTCCCCCGGACTCGGCAACCAAGGCCTCCTCAAACGCCGCCGGAACTCCGGCGGCGAGGCCCCGTAGCCTTGCCACGCGCCTATCGCAGCTACTGCCGCCGCCGCCGCCACCGTCCGTCGTGAGGGACCCCTGACCCTGCCGTGGCGATGATGTTCCCGCCACCGCCACCGCCACGGCCATGCTGATGCCGCCCCTTCTATCACCGCGGGGCATGAGACATGTCGTGCGCCCGGCCCGTACCACAAAGGGCGTCACTTTTGTTTTTTTTTGGGGGGGGTTGGATTGCGGAGCATGGGGGGGGGGGGTCGATGAAAATTATAACAGCATGCCTGAAATTAGTGTGATATTGAGCAGCATTTATAAAAAATCTACGTATTTGTAGCTCATGCAACATCGAATAAAAATAAAACACGAGTGGTGGGCGTGTTCAATATAGCGCGCGCCACTTCCCTCCCCTTGTCATCCAGACAACTCCAGCCTCCATGCCCAACGCGAACAAATCACAGCCATCATGCAGTTGCCTCCACTCACCCAAAGCCTCCATGCCCAAAGCAAATAACAGACCGTCGAGTGCCCTCCTCCCGATTGTCATCAAGACGCTTGCACTCATTGAAAACCTCCATGCCCACAACACGCCGTCGGGTACTCCCCTCCCCCGTGTCATCAAAACGCCTCCACTCACCGAAGGTCTCCATGCCGCCGGGAACCAACCCCAAGGGCCGAGCCTCCGCCCGTCCCCCCTCCACGCACGCCAGCAACAACCGCTTCCAAAACCCGTGCACGTCCCTCAGAGCTTGCTGGAAACACACACAAAAAAAAGACAAAAAAAAAAAGAAAAAAAACACAGGACAAGTTGGAAATGGGACATGCCATCCTTCGGAGCTTGCTGGAAACACACAACAAAGAGAGGACAAGTTTGAATGGGGCATGCCATCCCTCAGAGCTTGCTGGAAACACACAAAAAAAGACAAAAAAACAGGACAAGTTTGAATGGGGCATACCATCCCTCAGAGCTTGCTGGAAACACGAACAAACACAGGACAAGTTTGAATGCGACATATCAGCGCCTTGTTGCCGTTATCGCCGTCGGTTGTTGCGATGGGAGCTGCCTGATGATGCCACCAGTGCTGGCAGAGGAAGCGGCGCCGTGCCGACGATAGGTTAGGCAACAAAGCGTCGGCAGCAGCAGCAGCAGCCACCACCACAAAATAAAATCAACTACACAAGCAACTAAATTACGCCAACAGCAACAGCAACAGCAACAGCAGCAGCAACGCGCAAAAAAGAATACAAGAAGCAATGAAACACTGACGCCAACAACACACAACAACAGGGGACGCCCGAAACAAACAAACCAGCAACAACACGGGCCACACAAGTCATCCACACCTCATCACCAACCAACGAGGGCGGAACCGAAATAAAAGCTCAAAGGCAGCAGGGCCATCACGTCCCTACCTGAGCCGTCGGAGACATGGCGAGCGGGTCGTCCTTGTCGTTCTCCTCGTCGAGCGTCCTGAAAGCTTGCTCAGCGGCATTGCGCACTCCCTCCAAAGCCTGTGAGCGTCGTTGTCATCGTTGCATTTGTTGTTGCCGTCGCTGTGGTTTGATGCTGTTGTTGTCGTTGTGACGTCGGTGGTGATGGTGATGGTTGTACAGTAGGACGTGTCACCAGTCAACAAAATATCTTACGCACGCGAGGGGTTGCGGCTTCTGTTCTCGCTATCGGGTGGCCCAGCAGCGACTTATCTGGACAAGCTACCTCTCTCTACAAAACAATTCACAACACATAGGAGGGACGCGGGCAAGGGCGGAGAACCGTTAATTGTCGTCTTGCCGCTTGCTTTAGCCATTTGACCATTAGCTACGAATCCCCTTTCTGGACCGAGAGCCGTTTCGAGAACCGTTCCTACTCCCACTCTTCCTACAGACGCCGTCGACAGCTGTCGGGTGATCTTTATAAGGTTGTCACTCTACGGCGACCGTTGTCTGACAACCATGTTGTGCAAACTTTTATATCAGGCATGTTGCACCCAGGGAGGGGGGGGGGGGGGGGGCGGCATCGTACCAGGTTTTGCAAGTCTTGCAGCGATGTGGAGTTGGAGGAGAGCGGCCCAGCGTTGTGCATCAAGGGAACCTGGCGCACACGCATCCCCCATGAAAAGCAGCAGCGGCGGCAGCAGCAGCAGCAGCAGCAGCAGCAGCAGCAGCAGCAGCAGCACAAACCCGGATCCCCAGGGTGAAAACGAAAAAGAGTGGCGCGCGCGTGGTGGGGGAGGGGGTTGTAAAACGGGGCGGGCGGCGTCCGACAAGAGCTGTCTTCAAAACGGGTAAATGTTGTCGCTAACCGCCAGCCCAATGACAGCGACAACAGCAGCAACAACAACAACCGACGCAGTAGCAGCGTCCCACGCGGCTAACGACAGACAGAGACGGGAAGAGAATACTCAGTGAAAGCGGGTACGAGGTGGGGGGGGGGGGGGGGGGGGGGGTTGGAAAGAATTTCAACCCCCCACGGGGGTCCAACCCTCCTCCCCGCATGTTCGAATTTTTTTGGTTTTCCCCCCTTTTTTTGGGGGGACCCCCCCCCTTGTGGGCTCCACACCCGAAAACCCCCGACACTTAAAAATGGGTCCACATGGGCCAAAATTTTTAAAGCCCACCCCTACCCTTTCCTAAGGGGCCCATTAACCCGGGGAGGTTAAAAATCTCCCGGGGAAAAAAAAAAGTTTTTTTTTGGAAGGGCCCTGAAAAAAAAACCCCCCCCCTCCCCAAATGGAAAAGCCCGGGGGGGCCGCCCCAACCCCCCCCCCGGAAAAATTCTTTTTAGGGAGAAACTCTCCCTTCACTCCCCCCGGGCGGGGGGCCCTTGTCTTGGGGCCCTCCCCCCTCCTCCCTGGGGGGGGGACCGGGGGGGCACCAAACCCGGGCCCCCCCCCTTTTTC